GTTGAGGTTGTTCCTTGCTTTGAAGACGATGGCCTCATTTCCTTTGTGTGGCCGATGAGGGTGTTTGCGCACTCCTTTTGGCCGTTGCTGGTTGGCCTTCGTGTTTTTGGCCGAAGAGCCCGTCAAGATTCTGTTAGCAGAGGACGATGAGTGTCCTTGCCTCTAGTGGCTTGTTGGCCGTTGCTAGTGGCGTTATGGGCCTTTGGCCGATGAAGTTCCGTTGTGCTGTATGGATGATGTGGCCATGCTTTGTGGTTACCTTGTTCGCACTCTTTTGTTTTGTTGAGGCCGGTGTAGTCCCTGTAGTCCCCCAGTCCCCCACTGCTTCAGGCCGAAGAGTGTGAGGGGTGAAGGAGTTGCTTGAGTCCCTGTAGTCCCCCAGTCCCCCACTGCTTCAGGCCGAAGAGTGTGAGGGGTGAAGGAGTTGCTTGAGTCCCTGGCCGAAGCGGTCTCGCCGTAGTCCCCCTGAATCCAACTCTCATGGCGATTTTCTGGCCAAGGTAACCCTGTGGGAGAACCCTTGTGCGCAGATCGCTTGTAGAGAGTTATCATCAAGGGTTATTACGGGGAGCCGAAGGCTGTGGGCTATTTGTTCCCTTTGTTCTGTGGCCGTCACGTACCTGGCCGTTGCCATCTTCTTATTGTGTGGCATTTGTGATCTTGGTGAGTAAGTGGGACGTTGTGGGCGCTTGCTGGCAGTTGTAAAGCCGCTGAGCGTGTGTAGGCCGTAGAGTCTGATTTGCCGGTAGTCCGTTGATGTGGCTTGGGCCTGGCCCGTTGGTGTCGTGGTGGCCTCCCATTGGTGGCCGTTGATGCGGCCATTGGGAGAGTGCCACGTGTAGTGACCGTTGGTGGGGGGGTCTATAAATACCCCTTCCCCTCCGACGAAGAATCACATTTGCATTCTGAATTTGTCGAAGTGCTGGCCGATTTTCTAGAGAGAGAAACTCCCAAGCCTGTTCTTCGTGTTCTTCATTGTTTGAGGTTAGTGTTCATCACGATCTTCCTCACTTTTCATATTTTGCTCCGTAAGTAGTTGATCTAGTGTTAGGCATTTAAACACCTTTAGATCGTAAGTTCTCCTTAAGCCCGTAGTAGTAGTAATGAAGAGCTTGAACGACGACTACTACCCCTACGACGACCAGCCCTCCACGAGGTCGCTTGACTACGAGGTGCTCGAGGAGTTTGAAGAGGAGATAGAGCGTTTAAGTCCATACAAATCCGCGGAGCTGATGGACGAGGAAGGCGAGGACGAGGAGTCCGCCTCTTCTTCAAGGGGTGAGGACGTAGGTGCGTCCCGAGTGGTGGACGGGGCGTCCACTTCTGCTGTCATTCCGTGCCCGAGGCCGGTGTCCGCCGTTAAGGGAGCCGCCAAGCCGAAGAGAGTGAGGAGGCCGAAGAGTGGGCCCGGCGTCTCCTACTTGGATCTCACCAACATCTACCTGATAAAGCCGGAGAGCAGTGCGGCCGACTATCTGGTTGCCCAGATGTACGTGGGGCCGTTCGGGCGGGTTAGGGCGCCCAAGCCGACAGACCATGTTCTTCTTCCACCACCGGGATACTTTGGAGTATACCCGATGAGCTTTGCTAAGGGGTTGAGGTTTCCTCTTCACCCTTTCATTACTGAGTACCTGGACATGGTAGGGCTTCCTCCGGCCTTGCTGACGCCAAACAGCTACTCCTTGATGGTGGGGTTCTTGCTCCGGTGTGAGGAGTTGGGCTACAAGCCGACGACGGCATTATTTATGAATCTGTACCAGATAGGCCGAGGAAGCCACAAGAACTGTGCGGCCTACGCTACTCTTCAGCAGCTGCCGAAGAAGAGGAGCTTCACGGATTTGCCTACGTCCATTCATGGGTGGAAGAGCTAGTTCGTGTTTGTGTCCATTGGTGAGAGTGGCACCGAGTTTCCCTCCCTCGGCCACACCGGGAGATTTAATCTGCATGACCCGCCGAAGAGCTCTATTTTGAAAGCTCAGGTGGAGGCTTTCCTGGAGGGGGGGCCGAGGAGCGTGAAAGATTACATCACTGAGTACAAGATGGCCGCCCTCGGCTTCGTGAGGTACTATGTTTATGGTGACAAGGAGGATGACCTCCAACTCTGGCCGAGGATGACCACCACCTTTGAGGAGGCCGACGGCCCGGACTTGGGCATTCCTGCTGAGGCCGATGGTAATTCTTTCTTCGGCTTTGTGTCTTTATGTTTTGTCCTTTGCCTTACTAATCTGTTTGTGCTTTTCCCTTGTAGATTTTGTCATGGACCGCCGTTCCATGATGGCTATTGCAAAGGCCAAAGCGGCCGAGGAGATTGCTGCTAAGGCGGCCGAAGCGGCCCGACGTGCCGCTGCTGGTGGGAGCGGGGCTACTGCTGACGCGGCCCCAAAGCCTGCCCCGTCCAAGAAAAAGAGACCGGCCACTGACGGCCAGAAAAAGTTGACCGAGGCCGGCGTGAGCGTCTCTAAGAAGACGAAGAGGGCTCCTTCCCCTTCTCCGGCTAGTGAGGCCTGCAATATCAGGTCAGAACGATCACTTGGCCCATGATCCATTGTCACCTCCATGGCTACAAACAAACAATTCTTAATTCGTATTAGTTAATTTTTGCTATTATATTAGTTCTTTTTTTCTAATAAATTTTTAATTAATTTTTACTATTATTTTTTTTAATCGAAGACAAACTACGTTATACACATATGATTCCCATCAACATGATCATTAACAAAAAAAGACCATAAGCTTGAAAACCAAATGCATAATCTTCATTACAACAATACAACCAAATTCAACAACCAAATCACTACCCACATACAACCACACAACACTTAAACATCTGCTAATATATCCCACTTCTCAGCAAGACGATAACAAACAACCCGAACCACACTACATTCCAGGAGAAAGTCCCATTGCCTTTCTTTGACATCTTAAGTTCCTCTTCCATAATGTGGAGTTTCAAAAGACCAATCCCACGGACACAACTCTTGATTTCAACTTGCATCTCTAATTCTTTCATCCGGAAAATCTCTTCAACACCGGTAACCTTCTGGAGCAAGGTCTCTATCCATCTCAGGCAATTACCACATTCTTCATCCTCAACCCATTCAAAGAAATTGCACTTTTGACCACTCAAGAAACGACCGCACCCATAAAATCTTTCCCCCATGTTTTTGTCTGTTGTTGCAGTCCACACCGGTGCTTGGAGTCCACAGTCAAACCTCTTGATTCGCCTTCTTGCATCCATCGACCAGGACTCAACACTCGAAGAACTCATCGGTGTCTTACTCCCCTTTCTTCATTTCCTTCACTGACGTCTTAGGACTGCCTTAAACAAGAGACTGGAGGGTTTTAATAATTAAGCAGAAAAGAAAAGCCACGTGTATATGCCTAAAAGAACCATTCCAGAAGATATCGAGTTTGTCTTCAAATTTTCAATAGAAAAAACTACCAAAATTCAAATATATCCAAAAGTCACAGTTCACAAAGAACTCACATTTCACTATTAAAATACCCAGATTTTGATATCTGCATTCAAGTCTACATTTCAAGACCCAAATTTAACTACATTCAAATCTACCTAAATGCCCAAATGTCAAAATACACTTTAAAATTTCAACAATCAATTTAAAATCAAATTTCAACATTTCATACATATCCACATTTCACAACAACTCAATTCACAATCAATTCACAATCTAAAAATTCGAAAATTTTAACATTTAAACCCCTATGTTCAAAATGAGATGAAATGGAGTTTTATTTACCTGCAAGACAGAAGAAAGAGTGTTGAAGATGAAGATGGAGGTTTGCCGGAGTGGGGTCGCCGGAGATGGAGGTTCACCGAAGCTCGGTCGTCGTTCCTCTTCGTCGCTGCGGCTGGGGGATTTGGGGGATTGGGTTTGCGTCTTTCTGTTTCGTAGGCTGGGCGACGTTTTTACTTAAAGGAAAGTTGTCCAACCGTTGGGTGACTTACCCCGACCATGGTTAACCCACCATTATATTGGTAAATACTTTTAACCCAACCCTGTTTTCGTAATTAATTAATCAATTAACATTAATACGGAAAAAAACTCCAAACTCTTCTCACAAACACTTTCATTAGCCTTCTTGTTATGAGTCTTCATCTTCCTTATTGAAGTTCATACTTCATAACATCCAATCTTGATTTCTGATTCAATTTGGAATCGATGACATCGTTATTTTAGTGGAGATGACTAACAAAAGGTGAAACAAATGAGAGATGAGTTAAAGTGAAAACCATAAAACCATATTTATTAATCATTTGTTAAAAATTTAAAATTGAATAAAAAGCCAAATCAAATGAAGTCTCAGAGCTTACCTAGTTTGATAACATAGAAATTGTCTAAATATATCGATTCTGCTGAAATTGATAAAATTATGACTGAAACAGCTGACTCAATTGTCTGAATCAATTGAATTGTGATTTTTTAATTAATATATCGAATTAATAAAATAAAAAAAATCATATGAAAATCTAACCAATTAGTTTTTTTATAGTAATTTCACTAAATTCTATCAGAAAAGGGAACTCCTACTTACTAATTTTTATAATTACTTCATACAAAATTAAAAATTTGCGCATGACAAAAAAATGACTAATAAAACTAAGAATGTTTTCTTTTGGACTGTTTTCAGCCTCAGACCAGACCAGACCAGATTAGACCAGGTTTCTGTAGTTATAAAATACACAGATACCAAATATTTACCAGACCAGAGCAGCAAATTTCACTCCAAAAGAAAACATCCTAAAAACGAGTCATCAAATGCATTCTTAATGTTTGGAATAAGAATGAACTTTTAAAATACTCCGTGATAAGGAGTAATAAATAAACCACAAGATCCAAGGGGATGCTTAATAAAAATGTTTATCTGAATGTTTAGGCGCCAAAAATCAAAATCCCCCAAAACTCACTCGTTTACCTACCGCCCTCTAAAAAGCGCGAATCAAAATTTGAATATTCAATCCTCCGCGTTCATTTTCCAACTTATTGTAATCTTCCTATCCAACGCCTGCCAATCGTCCAGCTCATCAATCCGTGTACGCAATGCCAAACCAATTACATCCCAGACAGATCTCCTATATATTCTTATCGCCGAACAAACTTTCTCATCATCAATTACATTATTCTCTTCAGTCCGATAAATCTCTCCAGAATACCAATTTCTTCACTTCAGAATAATCTTACTGCGATAACAATGGCGCCAAAGGCAACAGCAGACAAGAAGGTCGCCGAGAAGAAACCAGCAGAGGAGAAGAAGACTGTCCCCGCCGAGACAACTGCACCGGAAAAGAAGCCATCCAAGGCCGGAAAAAAGGTCCCCAAGGACGCCGCCGCTGCCGGCGACAAGAAGAAGAAGAGGCCAAAGAAGAGCGTCGAGACCTACAAGATCTACATCTTTAAGGTCCTTAAGCAAGTTCATCCGGACATTGGGATCTCCAGCAAGGCCATGGGAATCATGAACAGCTTCATCAACGACATCTTCGAGAAGCTCGCTCAGGAATCGTCCAGGCTTGCCCGCTACAATAAGAAGCCGACCATCACCTCCAGGGAGATCCAGACGGCGGTGAGGCTTGTACTGCCTGGAGAATTGGCGAAGCATGCCGTTTCCGAGGGAACAAAGGCGGTGACTAAGTTTACAAGCAGCTGAAGAACTGTTGAGATATATGGATCTAGTTGAAATACCTTTAAAATTAGGGTTTACTAGCATGAAGTGCTTTTTGATGTTTATGGAATATTTTGGGTGTTAATTTGTTCCTCTTTCGATTTGCTCCAGATCTGAAATCAAATATAATTCCATCTTTATTCAACATTTCATTTCTGTGTGATTTGAATTTCCAATTTTGAAAACCAATGTGTTGCTTTAGAATCTGTGGATTTTTAAATCAAATTAAATGGGTTTATCCCAGTGAAACTTAGGTAAATCTTTATATGGAGTTTTCATTAATCGTTCTCAACCTTTTGCAGTCACATAGTTGGCTGTTTTTGGGAGTTTATCATCTATCATTCTTGAAGTTCGAATTTTTATATGAACATGGAAAGACTGCCTTTTCAATTCCACATTTTGTCTCTTCTCGTTTAGTTGAATTTTTGGTATATCAAGTCGATTTTTAGTTCTTCAAACTTTGCACATATATTCAAAGTTTTTACATGAAATCTTGTGTTTTTTGGCAAGCTTTCTCGGCCAAGTTGAAAAAATTCCAATTTGGTGTTTTTAATATATTCAGCGGTGGCTCCTTGAGTGCCTTCAAAGAGTGCTGCTATAAGACTTGTTCCACTACCTTTTTTTCGTCTGCCATGGATTTTGATTGTGATTTGTGACCAAAGTATACTGGAGCCTTTTTGCTGAAAATTGATGAAGTGGATCACTAAAATTTGGGGCTGAGCCAATTTTGCACCAAATTCTTACATTGTTCCAAAATTGTTCCAAAAGATTGAATCCCCAACCCCAAAAGCCCCTCAAGTCGTGATCAGTGTCGGATTTGGAATTAAGATTTCAAGTGTTCAATTTTATAGAAATTAAAATTTAAAGAAGAATAAATACAATTACACTAAATTTACACATGTATACTACCATGTTTTTTTTGGGTGTTCTTGTGCAGACTTTGGAACAAAGCAGCTCCACAACTGGTCCGATCCAACAAAACATGGAAGAATGTAAGTCACGGACTTACGGTGACTAATCGACCCAATTGTGTCAGGCCTTACCCATGCGCACTAGAGGTTCAACCAATCACGCATGAGTTGTAGCCTCCACACGGTCGTTGAAGATTTCGAACCTTGATCTTTGTTCCAAATTTCTCATCAGTCAACTAACCGAGCTACCCGTGCGGGTTGTAGCTCATTTGCTCAAGTGATGCAATACTACTGACCGGTGTGTTAACTCTTAATTTGATTAAAACATTATTCCTTGTCTATATGATTTGAAGGAAACATCTGAATTAGTAACAAACTTTTGATAAAACTATAAAAGCAAAGTGTATCGAAAGTCAACATTGGTTGGTGAGTGTAAGTGATAGTATCAAATCCTTACCATTTTAAGGGATAGTTAAAATTAATTCTGTTTCTATTTCTTTTTTCAAAGCAGAAGTAGAATCAAAATTAGATTTTCAGAAGCTGGTCTCCTCTATCAAGGAGTTCAAAATAATGCAAAGAAAGAGCTGAAGGACTAAACTGCAAATACTAGTTTCTTATTATTTTACCTTTATATTAGATCATATAAATACTGTAAATGTAAGACCTAATTGATCTTTCGAATTCATTCTTCTTCAACATTGAGCTCTCACTTATTTTCTCTCTGAATCAAGAATACTTCCTTTAATCTTTAGATTTCCGTACAAGTTTAAATTCCCAACTTCTAAAACACTACTTTTATGAGCAATTTGATGCACTTGAAGTACTTGTGCACTTTCACTTAAATATTCCAATATCTGCGTCTGCTCCTTAAAGGAGCAGGAGCGTTTAAAGAAGTAGATCAAACACTCCCTAAATAAGTATATTCATATTTAAAAAGTAGCTTCAAACACCGCTGAATAAGCATTCAGATTGAATAAGTAGCCAGTTCACGCAATCCTAATCTTTAGTTACAATGTTTTGTTTATTCTCTTTGAATTTCAATATTTAGTGCATTTTTTAAAATTTTTTTATTAAAATAAATCCATGTCTCCATATATTTAGTTTTACTTTGTCTGAGCATCAAATTTCCAAAGATGGCTCTGCTCATATATATGTTCATTGCCCTAAGAACTATGCCTTATCCTAATCACTAAAAAGTGTAATTAGAAGAAAGTTAGATTTCACACAATAATGTAATCTATCTATTTATATATAAGAAAAGAATATTATCATAAAAATAAGGAGTACAATTTTACCCTTTAAAAAGCCACATGTCCTCTCCACAATTCACTCATCTATCATACACATGTCACGTGGCAAATTCAAGGATAATGCCGCACATTCAACACCAAAGGAGAGTAGCATTTATTACTCTAAAATACTCTAAGGGTATGTTTGGGAGTATGATTTTGGGGGGAGGGGAAGGGATGGGAGGGCCAATGACCCTCCATTTTGTATTTGGGAGTTTTTAAAAATGGAAGGAAAGTGTTTGGAGGTATTTTATAACCCTCCTAAACCCCCGTTTTTTAGTTCCTCCGAATCTGGAGGTTTTGAAGGTCTATGAAGTTAAATGACTGGTGTATCCTCCCCTCCCTGACTAGCTATACGAACAACGATCAACTACCAGACTTAACCCTAGCTATTCGGAACAATAGCTATCTGCAGCTCTCGGTTCTCGGCTATCTACACCATACCTTCGCTGCTTCGTGACAACCTTCGCCTTGGTAGCGTAGATTCTCCGATACTGGTATGTGCTCTCTCCGATCAATCAACTCGCCCAAGTATTTTTCGTATTTGGTGAAATTGGGGTTAGATATCATATGTAATCGTTTAAATCTCTGTTTCTAGCCATCGTTTCTATCCACCATTTCGTTGCTTGTTTTTTCATAGCTCTGTGAGACCAACGGGTCGAACAGAGATGAAAGTCACAGAGCTCAATTTCTCCTTGGTGGGATTGAACGGATTTGAACCCACCCAGATGCCAATTTATCCCTCTGAATCGGACTTTGTAAACTGACTCAACCTTATTAGTTTATTCCCAGACCATAAATGCCTTTTAAAAAAGCTTACTTAGTTGTTCCCAATCCACACACACTCATGCTCTCGTATATGTATGTATAATGTATAACATTTCCATCTTTAGGTTTTGCATTAACTTTTGATATCATTACTGACTTTGGTTTTCCTGTTTTCAAGATTCTGGTTTTAGTTTAGAGAATGGGGTTATGCTAACATGATGCTATATGGGGTAAAGTCATATAGGGACTTGACTAATTAAGGGACTTATTTGAAACTGTCAAATCTTGAACCTTTCTTTAAAAACTATCTTTGAACAAATATCAGGGTAATTGAGTCTGAAAAAACTCAACCCTCTTAATAAAAATATATAGAAATAAGTAATCTATTAGTCTTATAAAAACTCATTTCCTACAAATATATCTCCATTCTTTTATCTGTGAATGAAGCTTAGCTAAAACTGACTGATTAAGGCACTTATTTGTAACTTCCGATTTGAGCCATCGGTTCAAATAAGGTCTCTACTTCTATTTTAGTGACATATTCAAATATTAGTGACTATACACATGCATGACTATTGACTACATCAGTTCTCTACTTCTATTTTTAGTGACTTACAACCAGTGAGTATTTGCAGCTTCTCTATTGTTCAAAATTTTATTTGGAACATCACTGACAAGTCCATCGTTTTATGTTAGCAACCTAAAAGGTGATAACAGCCTGGATTTATTATCTTTGTTAGGTAAGTACTAGTTATTAGGACAAAATTGTAAGTCATTAATTGTTTTTTTTGTAATGATAGAAAACATCTTTGCTTCCTCAATGTACTTTTGTTAGAAAATATAAAAGTACAAAAGTAGAAAATATAAATGTACTAACATATTATTAGAATTCTACTTCTTATAGATGGATGATGCACACATATTGGATTTGCATAGAAAGATACAAAGACTGCAAATGGCTACAATTTATGTTGTGTGCATTTGAAAACGTTTCATATTATTTGAACCTAAGATTTCACTCTCATGGCCTAAGCGAGTCTAAAGACATTACTTCGTTAGATTTTGAGATGAACAAACAAAATACCAATCAGAATTTTTAATGAAAAAAACAGTCCCTAGCTAGCATTGTTAAGTGTTTGCTTTTTACTAGAAATATGTTAGTGCAGAATTGTTGGAAGAAATTTAGAAATAGCAAGCTTAGGGTGCACTTTTTCTGTAGTACAAAAGTCTATTTTCCCTCTTTCAATTTTTACTAACATATTATTAGAATTCTACTTCATATAGATGGATGGTGCACGCATATTGGATTTGCATAGAAAGATACAAAGACTGCAAATGGCTACAATTTATGTTGTATGCATTGTAGTTTATCATTTCATAACCAAAAGTGCTCGAAATAGAATACCAAGTCATGCTCTAATCATATAGAGAGAGAAAGAACGAACTAAAACAATGAAAAAACTTGATACTAATGAGGGTCGTAAAATAATTAGAATGGGTCCAAAAGCTTTTATGGACCTATGTGCCATGCTACAGAGTAAGGGTGGTCTTTTGCCAACACAACGTGCGTGTGTAGAGGAACAAGTGGCAAAAACCCTCCATATCCTAACACACGGTATGAAAAGTCAAGTGGTTCAGTTTTGGTTTCAACGTTCCGGTGAAACTATAAGTCGCCATTTTCATCGTGTGCTTAAATCAATTATTGCTCTAGAGGGAAAGTATCTCAAACAACCGGATGGCTCACTGATACCTTCAACAATTCTAGGGAGCAGTCGATTTTATCCTTATTTTGAGGTATAAATTATTTTAATTTTTTATTTAGAAACATAATTTTCCGATAAAATAATTAATACAATAAATTCACACTTTTAGGATTGTGTCGGGGCAATCGATTGTACCCATGTCCGTGTAAGAGTTCCATCAGCTGATGCTCCTAGATACCGAGGTAGGAAAGAATTCCCAACACAAAATGTGTTGGCTGCGTGCTCTTTTGACTTGCAATTTACTTACGTTTTGGCCGGGTGGGAAGGAACTGCATCAGATTCAAGGATTTTAAGAGATGCATTAAGCCGAACAAGCTGTTTGAAAATACCAGAAGGTAATTAAAATGTTTTTTATTATTACTATACACGTGCTCATATATAAACGTTATTAATAACACTTTTTAATAGGTAAATATTACCTTCTTGATGCTGGGTTTATGCTAAGAAAAGGACTCATTACACCATTTAGATCAACACGTTATCACTTGAAGGAATGGTCCTCAAGAAATCCACCTCGAACAGCTCAAGAACTATTCAACCATCGACATGCATCCTTGCGTAATGCCATTGAGAGATGCTTTTCTATTTGGAAGAAGAGATTTCCTATTATTGCGACTGGAAGAGAAGCACACTATGGCGTGAAGACACAAAATAGGATTATCATAGCATCATGCATTTTGCACAACTATCTCATGGTATCGGATCCTGATGAAGAGTTAATGGCTGAAGTTGATGCAGACATGGCCAATCAAAATGAAGCTCAAATTTCTAGTAATGTGGAACACAACGAGATTGAAGAACATACTCATTTAGGAGAGAACTTGAGAAATGCTATAGCTAATTCTATGTGTGCAGATTACATGTCGTGATGTTTATTTTTTGATTAGGAGTGAACTTGAGAATTGTTCTATGGTTGTTTCAAACTTGAAAGATATTTTGGCTTTTTGATTGTGTTGATTGATAGTTAAATGCTTGTCATTGATGCATAGTTTATTTTAAATCAGATGTTATTATTAAATTTTTTCTTAGAACTAATATAATGGATCTATAGAGATGGAAAGTAATGCAACTACCAGTTCTGAGGGTGTGAAGACAACAATAAAGAAGTACACGATGGACAGGGAGATATGGACAGCAGAAATGGACAATGAACTTGTTAATTCATTCCTACATCAACACAATGAAGGGAATAGAGTGAGCGGGACATTCACCACAAAGGCTTACATGTCAATCACTAGTGACTTGCAAAATAAGTTCGGAAGACCTTTCAAGAAAGATAAGGTGAAGGGGAGATGGAAGTTACTAAAAAGAAATTTTACAAAGTGTTATGATTTATTCAAAAATCTCAGTGGCTTTGCTTGGGATCCAATCTCAAAACGTTGGTTGGCTGAACCTGAAGTCTGGAAAACACCAGTAGAGGTACAACAAAAAGTTCTCAAATTTAACTAAACTTTATTTTTCAGCTTATTTTACATATTGAAATTATTATGAAATTCTAAGTTCTCTTATTTCAATAAAATTTATTTAATAGGCTCACCCCGATGCTGAAGAGTGGATGAGGAAACCGATTGCGAACTACGACAAGATGGTGATTATATGTGGAGAAGACCGAGCATACGGAGGGATGTCAGAAACCGGTGAGGATATTAGGAATGATAAATCATTTGGTGCAGATTCGATTGAGACTAGTGATAGTTTACAAGAAGGTGTCAATGATGTTGATGTCACATCACCTCAGATTAGAGTCCGAGATGAACCTAAGTCCAAGCGGCCAAAGAAATCCAAGGATAAGGTTGAAGATGGAGGAGTAACCGCAGCACTTATGACGATTGCTGAAGCTTTTAAGGATAGCACTTCTGCGCTTCGTGAGAGCACGTTAGCTTATGAAAAATCTCATCAAAAGCTTCCGATTTCTGAAGTTGAGCTTTGGAAGCTTTTGGAGGATTTGCATATTGAAAATCATTTGATCAACCGAGCATATCTGTACCTTCTCAACAATCCTGATATGATCAAAGGACTCATTGGATGCCCGAAGAATAAACAGAAGGAGTTGCTTATTGAAATGGTGTTTGGTCCACCGGCATCTACTACCAGGTTATCTTAATATGTTTTTAAGGACTTTAGTTTTTTTTAGTATACTATTAATTGATATTGATGTTTTTTTGGCAGTTTATGTTATCAATAATTTTGATATATGCAGTTCCTTTGATGAAGATGTTTGAGATTGTGAGATTTTTTGTTTCGTGTTAACTTTTAAAAATGATAGTTTATTTGATAATGTGATGAATGTAATGATGTCATTCTTTGACAAAGGTGGTAATTGAGAGTGTAAGATTTTTGTTTGTTGTTAAGTTATTAAAATTATAATTTTGATAATAATGGTAAAAGTGATGATAAATGTATTTCGTTTATTTAATTATTGCTTGCAAGTTTCGGATATTATATTAACGAATTTTTCTATTTGGTTGCAGGCCATATTAGTGAAGGCAAGTGTGTGTGAAAGTCGAGCTTATTTGGAGTGCATTGACTTCTTTATGTTATTGATTGGAATGCGCTAGATTAATATAACTGCAAGTACTTGAAATAAAATGTGAAACATAATACGCTGAGATAATGTTGTCCTATAATTGTCGAAGTTAATTGTCTTCTTTTATATTTTCATTTTTCATTTCGCTTTAATTTTTTCTCAAAAGTATGGGTATATAGTAAGATTTTAGATATTTTATACTTCAATTATTTTAAATATTAAACAATTTTTTTTTGAATAAAATAATTTTTTGTTTGTTGAAGTGAAATTGAAATGTGAATTTAAATAAACATTATGATGTTTTACTTATACAATGAGAAGGGGTACATGTGTCATTTTAATTATATGTCCTCCAAAACCCTCCTCTTTTGCAATTTGTAACTCCCAAACAAGAGGAGGGAATTCCTTCCCATCTCCCTCCCCTTCCCTTCCCTCTACTCCCCTTCAAAGCCTTTCCCTTCCCTCACCCTCAAACTCCCAAACACACCCTAAACAAACGTTACCTCAATCTTTGGTACCAATGAATAAAAAAAATCATTTTCTTCAAATTGATATAACTTTTTCAGCGTTTATCTAATTTTCGTAAAGAGTATCAAAATTTATAATTTTGTTTTCCTTATTGTCCATTTCACAAAAAATCTAAACATAATTTTCAGCACTAAAAAAATATAAGTCATATTTTTATCTGATATCCATGTTTTTTATCATATACTAGAAAATATTTGTTTATTTTTGGGAGAATTTGAGTTTGCACCCCATGTTTTGAGTCATATTTGACTTTGCATCCCATTTTTAAAATCATTAATGTATGCACCTCATTATCCCCAAAAATGTGAAGGGGTGAGGTGCAAAGTTAAATGATTTTATAGTGAATTGAGGTGCATACATTAATGATTTTGAAAATGGGGTGCAGAGTCAAATATCACCAAAAACATGAGGTGCAAAGTCAAATTCTCCCTTTATTTAATACGAAATAATTTGTATGGAGGTTGAAAAATATGAAGGTTGTTTAATAAATGTTCAAAAAAAATTAAATTTTGTATATACAATATTAGGACCAAGTATATTTTAGTCTCAATGTAGGATTTAATAAGTCCTGATTACACTATGTGGTTAATATAGATCTTAAATTTTAATGAATATACACAAATTAACATTCCCAATTTAATAATGTTAGGGGGGATATAAAGATTTTATGTTGTTGGGACCAAACTTTAAAATTTTGCTGTATTAAGATAAGATAAGCGAACGTATAATTGAGCGGGAGAATTTTGTCTCTCATATATATAGTATTTTTATGTATAAGAAGATAAACAAATTAATAGTTGAGTGAAAGAATTTTCTCTCTCATATGTAGTGCTTTTAAGTATAATAAGAAAATAAGCAGACTAATAATTGAGCGGGAGAATTTTCTCTCGCAAACGTAGTGCTTTTAGGTATAAGATAAGTGGATTAATAATTGAGCGGGAGAATTTTCTCTATCATATATAGAGGTCATTTGGTAACACTGTTTTTCGACTTATCAGCCAACTTTTTCACCAAACACGTAACTTTTGTTTTCGCGCGCTGAATTGTGTAATAATAAGAAAAAGTAAGGTTGAAGTTACTTTTCTGGCTGTATTGGTTGATGTTACTGTAGATAACCATTTTAGCTATTTTTACATATAATTTTTCCTTTATTTTATTAATATAATGTGTTTTAAAAATAATTTTTTTCCCTAAAATAAGCAAAATCAGCCAATGTAGCCACTTCAGCTAGAACTTCATAAATTTCAGAAGAATCAGCCGAATCAGCCGATTTTCATGTTACCAAACGGGCTTATAGTGTTTTTAGGGATAAGATGAGCAGACTAATAATTGAGCGGGAGAATTTTCTGTCTCATATGTACTGCTTTTAAATATAAAAAGATAAGTGGACTAATCATTGAGCGGGATAATTTTCTCTCTCTTACAATGTTCTTTAATTTTAGGTATACGAAGATATGAGGACTAATAATTAAGCGATAGATTTTTTCTAAAAAGCATTAATACGCGATTTTAGTTTACTTTTTGTTTACTTTGAATATTTGGTGTATGGATTTATACTTCTCTATATTCACTTATTGTACTCCATTTTTAAAATGATGTAAAATTTTTAAAAAATCTATTTTTATATTTAAAAAAAACTATTTTTATATTTAATCATATCATGAATAAAAATATATACGGACTAACTGTTTTTCTCGTGCGTATTCACGAGTACTGTGCTAGTTCTTGAGAAACCAAATTGGTGTGCTATACTTTTTACAGAGTACATTGTTATAATGGAATGAGAAAAACTTTTATGTTGAAGACATTAGCATTATATCGTATTAATTGTGACTACGGATTGGATACGGTCCTGGTTCTGGCTAATTTTGTATAAGTTATTTGAAAATGTTATGGAGTATATTAATACAAATAAAATACTATACACATTAAAAATGAAATGTAAGTTTATTTGAGAAAACTACTCAATAAAAAAGATTACATAAATCTCAATGATAAAAAAGCTACTCAAATGAAGTGAATGTAACAATTATAATTATATGTGTAAATAAGTATTCGACAAAATAATATTTAAATAACAATAGAGAAGGATGACATAAATCTTCTAGTCTTCGGAGCTATGAATTCCTTGGTCGATTGTCGTTTCCTCCATGAGTGGTGGGTTGGTGCTATGTTTAGTTCTTGAGTTTGCCGACGGGTCTTCAACCACTTGTGGAAACACACGAGCATATCAAAAGACTGTGTGCTCAATCTCGTTCTATAGCCGGTTGGGACGTTGCATTCTTCAGTAAGCTCTTATTCCACGGTGACTGTTTAAACCGACATGGTAGGACTTGTTTCACCATTGTTGATAAAATCGAAAACATTGCTTCTTTGTCTTTCCGCCATTTGTGAATGTCAAACACTTCCCCTTCTTCATACTCACACGAAAACGATAGATACAAAAAGCTCGTTAATCCGGCTTTCTGAAATGCTAGGAGTAGAATTAAATTTTTTCAAAAGATTATGTATTTTTTTCAAAAGACCCTTTACGTTATATGAAAAAGCAAGTTGTTTCAAGGGAGAGAGTACGTTATCATATTGTGCATGAAACTTATTAAATAAACTATGAAATAGAGTTGAATATGTCGTCATCAATAGGGTTGTTCTCGTACATAGCCATGTCGTCATAGAAACAATTATAATAGTACTCTAAAAATGTTTGATGATAGCAAGTTTCAAACGAGGATCAAGAACGAAAGCAATAACATATATAGACGGAATGTAGGTATAATATTTTTAAAAAAATCTTTCATGAAATCTAACAAATAATGAACATATTCGGCCTTTTAAAATTCTTTGAAAACACTAGCGAGATTAAAAACTTTTATAAAAACATATTACTATTTTTCCATTTTGAAAATAAACTAATACATTGCAACTATTTTTCCATAGTCGCCTGTGCCAATAATACTTAGATGGTCCATAATCATGGAGTGGACACTACTACACTACTAGATGAGGAATGTGTCATTCATTCATCCATTAATCTAAGAATATAAAATTTTATATAATTAGAGATTATTTTTAAAATTTGAGAATATAATCAACATCACATATCAATTTACTCATTTGAAGTTTATATATTCTGATTTTTCAAGTCATAATTTTTTACTCATAATAAGTTACGAGAGTTGTAATATATCAAATTGAAGGTATTGGAATGCTCTATATCTTTAAACTTTTAGGGGACTAGGCTAACCACCCTAACCCCACCTTAGCTTTGCCCCTGCTTTCAAACTAATGAGAAAAGTATACTGAATATTGGTTTATAAGCTATAAAGACAAATACGAGATATTAGGAGTTCAAATAAAGAGTAGAATCTTAATCAGGATATTACTAGTATGTATTTTGAAATATATTGAAACACTTACTTTGAACAAAGGGAAAAGTATTGAAATAGTCATTTTGAACGAAATGATATTATGTGTTTTGAATTAACTTATTCAATTAAATTTATAATATTTCTGATAGATAAGGTCATACTATGAAGTATGAACTACGTAGTACTCCCTCCATCCCGGAATTATCTTCATTCTTTCCTTTTCGGTCCGTCCCAAATTTATCTCCTTTTTCCCTTTTTGGTAAAGAATATGTAGTTCACAATCATTCTTACACATTTCTCTCTCCTCTGCATAACTCTCCACCACACAAATCCCACTATCTTAAAACCCGTATCCGGTCAAAACCGAAGTTAAATATGGGACGGAGGGAGTGATTTATAAGCTATTTAGAAATTAGTTGTGGTTTAGAAGCTATTAAAATTGAATTAAACGGTTGATGCAATTGTTTTGAATATGAACATCCAGCGCCTGCAGACTTCTCAAACTAATAAACGATACAATGTTGAATGAATAAAGTGCAATCAACACATGTATTCAATTTATTCGATGAAAACTGGAGTATTTCAATTTTTGGGGAGGCACGGGAAAATGCAATATTTTCTTCATAGCTCTAAGATTGAATTGTTTTCTGATAACTAACTTCTCAAGTGTTGGGCAGCATGCAAGTAACCCCTTGATGCCAAACAGCCAACTCTCAATCTCGCCTCTGTATGGGACATCACTCAAAATCATAGTCTGAAGCAAGTTGCATTTCCTAGCCACACGGTAAAGATACTCTGGAAGTTCTGAGCGTGTCCCTACGCAATCTCCCAACATTTCAATAATCTGCAGAAAAGCAACAAAAGAAAACTGAATTCATCAATCACCTAAACTCACAACAAAGTGATTGGTAAAACTAGAAAATTAAAACTAGAAGATGACCGTTACATCCATATGAAGTTCGCACAATTTTGGGCATAACTGCAGCAAATGAATGAATGTAGGAGAAATATCACCCTCTAGTGCGTAACGCTCCTAAAAGGTTGAGCAACATCAAATGTTCCACATTTAGTAGTTGAGGTGGTTGTAGTGGCAGTCCCCTTCTAGTAAAAGGTTCAATAAAATTCTTGAAAATGAAAGACAAATGTAAGATCAGTTACTAAAACCATTTTAAATAAATAATGTCAACAAAAGGGGTATGGTTAACTTACCATGATCGAGTAACCATCCAGAACTAGAGAGTACGAACAGATTCCCAACTCGAGTAGTTAACTGGAAGATAGCCATTGGTTTGGTGATAGGAACAACCTTCTATGGTTAACTTACCAAGTTTTGGGGCAGTGATGTTAAAATGGAACATAGTTTCATCGCATGAATAAAATGACAGATTCTCAAGCATGGGAGCATTAATTGCATGACCACTAGGCTTAAAGTCAACTTCTTCAAAATAAAGTGAAGTCAAATTTAGTAAGTTGCGAGGGGCGTCTACTGTGTCATAAGACGATCCATGAATACGCAACCTCCTGAGTGTTGGGCAGGAAAAGATGCAGTTAGGCAGCATGAATCGATCTTCTTCATCAATTTTAAGGTGAATTTCTTCAACGCCTTTTTGTGTGACAAACGTGAGCCATTGATAAATGTCAAACATTCGTGAATTAAGTGTTCCAAAATCACAACAACCAAATAAAAAGCGAAATTTACGAACAGGTCCACTATGATGCATGACAATTTTGTTGATTATGTATAAACTCACAGAGACCAATGAATCAATGTTATGATTGTCATATACGTAGTATTAGTTTCCTGGTTCTTCAATCACTGCAATAGTAAGAATAATACTTGTCTCTAATGTGATTAAAGAAGTCAATGTCAAAGTCGAGTGTTGTAAGACTGAACCACGTATCTCTCCACAGAGTAGACAAAACGGCCAATCTAGCAGCATGTAAAATGGGCATGCATCCCAAAATCTTGTCAAGTAAACCATCTGGAAGTTCACTGAATTTATCTCTCCTTCTCCTCACCCTGCAGCACTGATAGATGCAAATTATAGGGAAAAAGTAAGTTAGGGATAACCTCAAAATGAGATAACTATGGGATACTGATAAGAATGAAGTTTGAATCTGAAACAGATGGTGAATATTGGTATCAAGAAGAGATAAGAACAGATCACGAATCCTACTGTTTAAATATTGAAACTTTTACTGTTGTACATATTAGGATAAACGACTTTTAGCATGCAAAATTTGCAAGCCTTAATTTTCAATTCAAACAGTTGAATGAATTAAGATAGCTACTTTAGAAGATTACTGAAACTCAGTGATTCTACTCAACTGAAGTACTGAACTATGCCTTCCATGCTGGAGTTGGAGAGTAACCACAACCCCAGTAACAAAAAAGACTATAGTTTAATCCAGGAAAAGGGAAGATGTAGAATGCTGACTAAAGACTCAAAAAGTAGGGGTAAATTGAAGTCCATAAGTTTTCAGTAGATTGCAAGGTTATCTTAACCAGACCAGCCACCTAACTGGTCAAAGAACTGGGTATTGGCTAGGGGTTCTCAAGTTTCATTGGGGTTGGACCAATTGTAACGAAATTGTTTCTAAAAAATAACGTATACCAAGTGTTGGAATGTAGAAAAAAAACATTTGTAAGTTGAAATAACTTTAGAGAAATTACACACAAATATGCACTTAAACAAGGATAGGCAATAGGCAAATCGGGAGAAGTGTCAAGAGATTACTTACAGCTTTTGTTTCTCGTACAATTGGGAGGGAGAAAATAAAAACATAGAAACTCAACAATACTCATATGCTTTTCCGTCAAAAATAAGACAAAAGTTAGACTAAAGTGTTCAACCATATAACAGTAGCTTGTACATATGCTTTTGTTTGGATTAATTAGGCAGTTCGCATCAAGAAGATGGGAAAACAAATACTCCGTATAAATCTATGTTTTTCCAAGAAGTTTTGGGCTGGGTTTAGGGTTAGGTTAGCAGAGATTTTTTTAAGCAGATGTTCGAACAGAAACACCAGAAAATGCAGCAAAGATAGTGGGGTGGGACAAAAAATAGGGGGGAAGCAAATAAGAAAAGCGAAGAAAATGAATTCCAGACCATAGAAGAAGAAGATGAAGTAGAGGTTAGCAATTAGCCACCAACAAGGATAAAAAAAAGAAGACCGTCATGCACGGGCTGATTGCTTCACTGATGCCTGTTGAGGACCTATTTGGGAATCTGAATTGAAAGAATCGTGTTTTACCATCTTCGATATTCATCATCTCCATTATCATCTTTGAGAATGGATTGGAAAACACGAAGTATTTGTTTCGGGACAAGTGTCAATTGTTGTCATCAATCCAGAAATTATGTTTAATCTTTGTAACCTAGTTAGAACAGATGGCTCAAATTGTTATTGCCACCAAATCTGTAGATTCATCCCTTAAGTGACTAATCATCAAGTTCAAACAGTATAAATAGGAGCTTAATGAGGCATTGTAAATTCATTCAGAAATTCAGAAATTCTCAGATATTAAGAAGAAGATATTTAGAGCTTTTATTAATATATTTATCTCTCAAATTTAGTCTTCATCTTCTTCATTTTCACAACACGTTATCAGCACGAATCAGCTCAAAATCTTCAGCAATCTTTGTCTCCTGCAGGTATTAGCATCAATATTCATTATATATTCTTCTAGTATAGAAACATGAAATACATGTTCAGTTTTTGTTTGAAATTAAACTCCTAGCCCCGCTTCATATAGTACAAGAAATTATACGTACCTTTAAACTATTTCTCCATTTGAATAAACCCTTCATAAAAGAAAGAAAATGAATACGTCCTTGGAGTGATAACTGATAAACACTCCTGACTTGTACGTAATGAGAATTTGGCTTCAATCAAAATACTTGACTTATGGATACCAATACTCCGTAATAGAGATTTAAAAGAAGGAAAGATATAATAGCTTAGCAAGATAGATGAGAGATGGTAATATGAGGAATATGCAGAATACGTTACTAGGCATACATATTTGAAAAGGGAGAGTAATAATATGAGTGACTTAAAAAAACGACAACAAATGCTCAGCGGCAGCAATAAGTAATACGAAGAAGATAATAACAAGTACTCAAAGATGATACGTAGTATGAACTAAACAAAATGAGGAGAATTGTCTGTGAACAAAGTGTATATGTAAGCCAATCAACTAAAAACAATGGATAGTCACATGACTCTAAATGAATGGCTGGTTTTTAATTTTTGATCGGTTACTTTTGTCCTATTGATAAAGATGTACTCGTGATCATCTGTACTACTTTGAGACACATAGCTGACAACTTTCAGTTTTTTAATTACCCATGTATTTGGTTTTATCCAAAGCTATTTCAATTTAAAATTTTAATGTTGTAAGTATAAGTATGCACATTTGAAATTCAAATTAGTTATCAACTACCGTAGCAACTATAAATAGCTTCTGAACGTTTTTTTATTACCAGAAGTTAAAATAAGTATAAATACGAAGTAAGTACATACACAAACAACTATTAAGATTGATTAGTAACATCACAAAACGAAAATAACCATTCTTATTAATAAACTTTATATTAATAATTTCTTGTAGTCCAATGGCAAACATAAGCAAACGAGAATTCGACGTTCTTGATCTGTCTGGTCAAAAATACCTGGAATGGAAAGTTGATGATTTAGCACATTTGAAGGCTAATGGTCTCGAAGACACTATTGAGGCTATTAATCAATCATCTTCCCAGGATAAACCGAAAGTTATAATTTTCCTCCGTCACCACCTCCATGAAAGTCTCAAATCTGAATATCTTTTGGTTGATGATCCAAAAGAATTATGGGACAATTTACAAGAGAGGTATGGCCACCAACAAAAGATACTTTTACCTAAAGCTCAGTATGACTGGATCAATTTAAGATTCCAGGATTTTAAATCAATCAGTGAATATAATTCCGCCATGTTCCAAATAACATCTAAGTTAAAGTTATGTGGACAAAAAGTCACTGATGCTGATATGTTGGAGAAAATCTTTTCCACTATGCATATCTCTAACATGCTGCTTCAACAGCAATATAGAGAAAAGGGTTTTAAAAAATACTCCGACTTAATATCAGTTTTACTTGTAGCTGAGCAAAATAATGACCTTTTAATGAAGAACCACAATCTGAGACCCACTGGGTCTAGTCCTTCTATTTATGGTCCATCCGGCCATAATTTAGCCACCGAATCAAATGCAACACACAGTGACAGTAGAAAGCATTTTAAATGTGGTCATTATAGTGGTCATAATAAAAAGCCACACCGAGAATATAAACAGGTTGACAGACCAAATTATAAGGGAAAGGGCAAACAAAAGGCTCATCAAATAAATCGCCCTACAAAAACCTCGGTAAAAACGACTTGTTATAAATGTGGCATGACGGGGCATTGGGCTAACAAATGCCGTACTGCGAAACATCTGGTGGAGTTATTTCAAGCTTCCATGAATTTAAACAAAGGCAAAAATATGGAAGTTAATTATGTCAATGACACAACTCCACCTCTGCCAAAATTTGATGTATCCAACTTTTTCGCGGATGATGCCATTATGGACGATGCTTTTGCTATAAACCAAAATGTTACTAAATAAAATAGTAGACTCCTGATGTTGTACAATACTAGTTTTATGTACTTTTTCTTTCTTCCCCTTTTTATTTTGCTTTTAAATAAATATGTATAATGTATGTACTCTTATGTAAAATAAAATGCATAATTTGTGATCAAGCTAATGTTTATTTATATATATTGAAGATATGGATCATTCAAATGATAAAGAGCTATGTCTGATAGACAGTGCCACAACGCACACCATTTTGAGAAATAAAATATATTTTTCTCAAATGACTTTAGTTGAAGCTGAAGTCAATACAATATCAGGTGTTGCGAAGCTCATTGAAGGCTCTGGGAAAGCATATGTGATGCTACCTAATGGGACAAAAATAATTATAAATGACGCTTTATACTCCAGCAAATCGCGGAGAAATTTATTGAGCTTTAAAGATATGCGTCAAAATGGTTATCACATAGAAACCATGAATGAAAACAAAAGGAATATCTTTGTCTCACGACAACTAAATCTAGCGCTAAATATTTTTGTGGAAAAATGCCAGCATATTCCTCAGGACTATATTTCACATATATTAGTCCATTCGAAATAAATTTGGTTTCTAACACAAAGTTAGATGATCGGAAAACATTCATATTGTGGCATGACCGTTTAGGTCACCCAGGCCAAGTAATGATGCATAAAATCATTAAGACTTCACTTGGACACCCATTAAAGAATATCAGGGTTCGAGTATCAAGTGATTTTCCTTGTAAGGCCTGTTCTCTTGGCAAAATGATCATCAGGCCTTCAATGAACAAAATTGCAACTGAATCACCTGCATTTTTAGAGAGGATTCAAGGAGATATTTGTGGGCCGATAGCCCCACCATGTGGACCATTTCGATATTTTATGGTGTTGATTGATGCTTCAACACGTTGGTCACATGTTAGTCTTTTATCGACTAGAAATTTAGCATTTGCTAAACTCCTTGCTCAAATCATACGATTAAGAGCTCATTCTCCGGACCATTCTATAAAGAGAATCCGACTTGACAATGCAGGAGAATTTACATCCCAATCATTTAACGACTATTGTATGTCGATTGGGATTGATGTGGAGCATCCTGTTGCTCATGTCCATACACAAAATGGTCTTGCTGAATCTTTGATTAAACGATTACAATTAATCGCTAGACCATTATTAATGAAGTGTTATTTACCTTCATCAGCTTGGGGACATGCTATTTTACATGCAGCAAATTTAATTCGGCTTAGACCGACTGCATATCATGAATATTCTCCAATGCAATTAGTTACTAGACAAGAGCCAAACTTAGCACACATTAAAATATTTGGTTGTGCTGTTTATGTTCCGATTGCTCCACCTTATCGTACAAAAATGGGTCCTCAAAGAAGGTTGGGAATTTATGTTGGATTTGAATCTCCCTTAATAATCAAATATCTTGAACCGATGACTGGTGACTTATTCACCGCACGGTTCGCTGACTGTCATTTCAATGAGACAGTATTCCCAACCTTAGGGGGAGAAACTAATAAATCGGACCCAAGTACGAAAGAAATGACATGGAATGCAACAGGATTATCACATCTTGACTCAAAATCAAATATATGTGAGCAAGAGGTGCAAAAGATAATCCATTTACAAAATGTTGCAAATCAGTTGCCTGATGCATTCACAGACACAAAGAAAGTGACAAAGTCACATATTCCTGCCATGAATGCCCCTGCCAGAATCGAAATCCCAACAGAGAATTTTGAAAAATCTTTTGCAAACGATTCTTCTATACGCAAAAAGCGTGGCAGGCCACTTGGATCGAAAGATATAAAACCAAGAAAAATTAAAAGGCAGGAATCGATCTGTGATGCCAAAGATGTTCATCCTTCTGAACAAGAAAATGAATAATTTGAAAATATTGGCATAGAAAATGATATTGACAAAACAAATATCTCAAATGATGATCCAACTTCCTTAAATGAGGAAGATATTCCAGATAATGATAGAAACGTTGATAATTATGAAATTTCAATAAACTACGTTTCTACTGGAATTCAATGGAATCGTAAAGATATTGATATTAATGAGATATTTGTCTATGCCGTTGCCACAAATGTTATGAATGAAAACAATGACAATGAACCAACATCAATAGAAGAATGTCGGAAACGACACGATTGGCCAAAATGGAATGAAGCAATTCAGGCTGAATTGAAATCACTTGAAAAACGTGATGTTTTTGGACCGATAGTCCCTACGCCAAAAGGCGTAAAACCAGTAGGCTTTAAATGGGTATTTGTGCGTAAACGCAATGAGAAAAATGAAATTGTAAGATATAAAGCCCGACTTGTTGCCCAAGGGTTTTCTCAAATGTCGGGAATTGATTATGAAGAAACCTATTCTCCAGTAGTTGATGCAACTACATTAAGGTTTCTCATTGGCATGTCTGTTTTTGAAAAGCTGCAAATGCGCCTAATGGATGTAGTAACTGCATATTTATACGGTTCACTCGATACAGACATTTATATGAAAGTTCCCGGAGGATTTAAAATGCCTGAAGCTTACAGCTCGAAACCTCGAGAAATGTTTTCCATTAAACTACAAAAGTCATTGTATGGACTAAAACAATCTGGACGAATGTGGTATAATCGTCTCAGTGAATACCTTCTTAAGGAAGGATATAAGAATGATCCAATTAGTCCATGTGTTTTCATCCGGCGATTAAATTCGGGATTCGCCATAATTGCAGTATATGTTGATGACTTAAATATTATTGGAACTCCCGATGAGATTGAAATACTGCAAAATATCTTATGAAAGAATTTGAAATGAAAGATCTAGGGAGAACCAAATTTTGTCTCGGACTTCAAATTGAGCATTTGAAGAATGGAATTTTCATCCATCAATCCAATTACACCGAGAAAGTTTTGAAGAGATTCTATATGGACAAAGCTCATCCTTTGACTTCACCAATGGTGATTCGATCTCTCAACATACACGATGATCCATTCCATCCCCGAGAAGATGATGAAGAAATACTCGGTCCCGAAGTACCATATCTGAGTGCTATTGGAGCTTTAATGTATTTAGCTAATAATACTAGACCAGATATTGCATTCTCCGTAAATTTATTAGCTAGGTACAGTTCATGCCCAACAAGACGTCATTGGAACGGGATCAAGCACATATTCCGTTATCTACGTGGTACAGTTGATCTTGGCTTATTCTACCACAAAGATGAAAAAGCTGCTTTAATCGGATATGCAGACGCTGGATACTTATCAGATCCTCAAAAGGCGAAATCACAAACCGGGTACGTATTTACTTATGGTAACACCGCAATCTCATGGAGATCGATGAAGCAGACATTGACAGCTACATCGTCAAATCATTCCGAGTTAATTGCACTATATGAAACCGGAAGAGAATGTGTGTGGCTACGATCTATGATTCAACACATCCAAAATGAATGCGGTATGAAGTCTATTACTTGTCATCCTACTATGATCTACGAAGACAACACTGCGTGCATAGCTCAGATTAAAGAAGGCTACATCAAAGGAGACAGAACAAAACACATATCACCAAAGTTCTTCTCTACTCATGATCTCGAGAAAGAAGGGACGATCAACATTCAACAAATCAGATCCAGTGAAAATCCAGCCGATCTCTTCACCAAATCTTTACCCCCGAAGAAGTTCATGGGACTTGTACAGAAAATCGGCATGCGACGTCTTCATAATTTATACTAAATTCAGGGGGAGTATTTGAATGCACTGCACTCTTTTTCCCTTCATCAGGTTTTTATCCCACTGGGTTTTTCCTGATAAGATTTTTAACGAGACAGTACATCCAAATACAACGACATTATAAGTCGTAATTTTTACCCCTTAATTTTCACAATAAGTTTTTAAAATAATAGACAACTATTCAAGGATGAACATTCAAGGGGGAGTGTTGTAAAATCCTGGAAATGACAAGTGTGAATTGTTCATCCTTGTCATCAATCCAGAAATTATGTTTAATCCTTGTAACCTAGTTAGAACAGATGGCTCAAATTGTTATTGCCACCAAATCTGTAGATTCATCCCTTAAGTGACTAATCATCAAGTTCAAACAGTATAAATAGGAGCTTGATGAGGCATTGTAAATTCATTCAGAAATTCAGAAATTCTCAGATATTAAGAAGAAGATATTTAGAGCTTTTATTAATATATCTATCTCTCAAATTTAGTCTTCATCTTCTTCATTTTCACAACAAGGCTTAATTTTTTGTTACCTCCATTCCATTTTTTCCCTTCTACTGTGCCACATCCTTTCTCCGTTCATCCTTGTGCGAATTATACTCACATTCAACAGTCGAATAATCTAAGAATAATTAGAAGAATTAAAACATTTGAATAGAAATTCATTAATAATGTATACCGTGTATGAACTAGAGACTTAGCAGTTTTCAGCCATCTCAGCCTATATTTTAGGAGAGATAATTTCTAATCTAATATGCTCTACCAGAATAATATGCGGAAACAGAATATGTAGAGACTTAGCAGCTTTCAGCCATCTCAGCCTATATTTTAGGAGAGATACTCGAACTCCCTAATACAACTAGGAAACAACAGCTTAGGCGTGTGGGCTTATTAGAGCACTTACAATTGGGCTTAATTCTCTCTCAGCTAATATAATTAAATACAAATACTCGTTAAATAAAAGGCGAAATTGACACCAATAATCTCCACTTTTACACATTTAAAAAAAAATAATCTCTATTTGAAAAGTTCACAACAATAATCCCTACTATTTAACTGTTTCACAAAATAAACCGAGTACATACTGTGTTAAGTTTTCCGTTATTTTTTATTTTAAATATATTGAATCGAAAATATATATAAACATTGACACTACTATATTTGAGTTTAACCTTGTTTCTACTAAAAAATAATAATTTAATATCCAATATTTCCATAAAACATAATAGAAATGTTTTTCATAAAACATAATACTCTTCAAATTCTCAATTCTCTTTCATTCCCTATCCATATTTTATTAAGATTCAATTTTGTTATTCGTTATAATAGAGATTCCGAAGTAGTTTTAGTAATAATACATTAAATATTAATACAATTATGTAGAATATTGAATTAAACTCAAATATATTAGTTTATCGTAGGAAAATAATAAAATCTAATATAATATTATTAATTTTTATACATATTTTTGGTTTGATATATTCAAAACTTAAAAAAAAAGTTAACACCGTCAAAATCGGATTATTTTTGTAAAACAAGTAACTAGTAGGGATTATTTTTGTAAAGTGTGTAAAAGTACGAAATATTAATGTCAATTTCGCCTAAATAAAATACAATTAATTTGAACACAATAAAATAATATTCTAACATCCCCTCTCATCTCTTTCTTCTTTTTCCTTAGCTTTCTTCTCATTTCACCTCGTTTCTCCCTTTCCAAATCCTAAAAATAAACTTTTAGGTGGTCACCTGTCTTCAAGTCCAACACCAGCAGCATGGCGGCAGCTGGAATCTATGCAACGAGGATGGAATGTTTTCGCAGCTCAAACAAGAAGCTCCGATCAACAACCCATACTATTGAGGTAATAATCTAATTTGATTTTTCATTGTGCATTGTACGGTTGTATTTATTTAAAATTTCTGATTTTTTCGCATATAATGCATTGTATAAGGCCTAATAGTTGAGCATTTTGTATTATTGTTAGAGAATGTAGTGTTAGTTATTAAAGTTCTAGTTCAATTACTCTATTTCACATTTATGCTTATAACATGTTTGTTGAAATGACTCCATGATTTTTTTGGGTCAAATTCAAGACTTTTACTCTCCTTGTTTGTTAATTAGCTCAAGATTGTAATTTTCTTTTTTCCCAACTTAAATAATGATATATTATTTTTATTGACTTTTTTATTTAATTAGTATGCTTTTGCTGTTTTAAGTAAATTATATATGTTATCATGTTGAATTTTTGACTACTTTCTTTCATTGATATAGGTTTGCGAGGTTAATTATTGAAATTTTAGTCAAAACTATTCTATTTTATTTTTATGCCCATTATATCTGTTAATAAAATGATTCAATGAATTTCTTGATCGTATTTAAGATTTTGGGAAAGAGGACTTTAGTAAATTGCTTTTTTATATATTCATTGTACCCATTTGATGTTTTTTTTCATGTGAGAAACAGTTTTAGCATATTTGGTGAATTATATTTACTTCTTGCAATTATATGAGGTGTAGTATAGTGAGTCAAATTTTTTTCAACCTGTAGAAATGAATGTTTAGGTCCTAGAAGACAGTCTTACAATCTTACATGTTTAGGTGCTAAAGGTTTGTTTAGACTTTAGTTTGTTTAGTGAACCTTTTTTTATGCTTTTAAGTGTTTTAAGCTGGATTATATGAATGAGAGGTTGGTTTTTTGGTTTTCTAGTTTTTTGTTGAAGCATGTTTTTGCTGCTCATTTATAAATGGATATATTTTTGCAGTGATGAACCAAATGTATCATGTGTGATGAGTGACTGTCATTAATATATTATTGCACTTGTATACTTTGCCACTAATTATGAACTCTTGAAACCTAACTGTGGTCTTTGGATATGGTTCTTACATTATATGGCAGCTTGCTCCAAGTTAGTTTTACACACTGCTGATGCATCCTTCATTGTGATTTATTTATGATGAGATGTTATAGGTAGATATGTATTTATTGATCGGAAACATTTGTGCATTGTCTCAACTGCAATAAAAAGCCCACCCCCTCTTCCTTCAGTTATATAGGAATACTCATACTATATATCACAATATACTATTTGTTCTTGAGGGGTGGAAGATGTGTACCACACTTGCTATACACTTAATTTCTTGTGATAAAAATATATTTAGAATGGAATACTAATATGTGATTTATTGTTTCCATACTCAGGATGTTGGTTCACTTCTTCTGGAGGTTTAAGCAGCCATGTGCACCCCTAAATGAACTGAAAGTTGAGCTGTGGGTGGGCAGCTCGGGCGAGATGTGTGGTGGCACCTTCAAAGTTGGCTAAGTCTAAGAAAGAGAGTACTAGCATCCCAAGAGTTGGGAGTACTGCTAGCTGGTCTGAGCATTACTCAGCCAAATTTCACCCAAGCTCATCCCCCAAACTTAAACCAAGTTTTATGCTAAACTGTAGCAAGACCTTTAAACTGTACCAAGTCTCCTTATTTGAGGAGTCAACCCCCTATTGCACCGGAATAGGTGAGCCTTTGTTGGACTCATCTGATGGGAATGTTGTAGAGATATTTTTTAAATTTCCCATGAACCATTATAAGTTGTGTGCACTTGTATTCTAGCTCCGCACCCGGTTTGCATCGAAGGTATGGGTTTCAATTGATTTTGTGCGTTACTACCTCGACTCCCTGCGCGTGAACACTCCATTACCACTGCAATCTCTACTCCATTTTTTGTCTTTGTTGTACTCCTAGTTCTTATGAGAAATCCCATGCTCTTCACGTATGTCTTGTAAAAATCATACACGGCTTATTTCGTATCAAACTTCATACCAACATCCGGAGTTTCATTATCCTTTTTCTGACCATGTGCATCTGTCATCGTACAATATTGAATTCAACTTGTTCACTTGTTCCCTCATACACAGACAAAGTTTCATACAATACAGACAATTTTGACTATTTCACAGACAAACATGTTCACTTGTTCCAACATACACAGACAAACTTTCATACACTACACAAACAGACTACCCAGAAACAAAATAACACAGTACAGAAACGAAATATAAACTTTAACTATTTGCAGACCATGTTCACTTGTTCCAACATACACAGACAAAGTTTCATACAATACAAACAACTTAGACTATCTCACAGACAAAAATGTTCACTAGTGTGCATAAATTTATTTCAACGTAATTACGAACTACATAAACAAAATACAAACAAGATGAAGTCCCACCCAGTTCATACACGACGTCCATGGAAGCCTCCAACGTCGGTCCATCACTTTCTTAAGTTTGGGCCTTGTTTCCGTCATCTTCTTCAGTTTGGCGAGCTTCAGAGGTCTGTCCGCCAACCCCTGCAACTCCGGAGTTTTACTATATTTTATTAATTTTTTTTAAAAAATTAATTTTTTTTTTATTTTATAAATATTTTATAAATTTTTAATTTATTTTCTACGAATTTTTGAATATTTTCAAATTTATTATGAATTAAACATTGATTAACTCATATTTAAAGGAAGAGTAAGAATGGAATGAAAAGACAGATATGTTTCCAATAGGACTAATATTGTCCTATTTTGAAAAGAAAAACATAATAAATTCTATTTTGAGTTTTTACTATAGTTTTAGTCCTCTATAAATAGTAATTTGTATAGAAGGTGTAGAAAAACATTTTTTATCCAAAAAAATGTCAATAGAATGCGCACGCTCCGTATTTGGACTACTTTTAATATCGTGGAAAGGTGGACCAAATCATTCGCATCGAGAAGCGCGAAGATCCGACGTCCATTAGCCTTCCAACTCATCAATCTGTGGCCTGCTACACAACCAATCACATTCCACGAAATCGTTGTATATAAACAGAGCACATCTCAACAAACCCACGGTCAAACCATCTCCATCTCAATTTCCACTCATTCCTTCGCACCTGAAAACCAACTCACAAACAGAATGGCCCCCAAACTGGAAAAGAAATCCGCGGAGGAGAAGAATGTCTCCGCCGAGAAAACTTCGACGGAGAAGCCCGCCAAGGCCGGGAAGAAGCTCCCCAAGGAAACCAGCGCAGGAGAAAAGAAGAAGAAGAAGGTGAAGAAGAGCGTCGAGACCTACAAGATCTACATCTTCAAGGTGTTGAAACAGGTGCATCCAGACATCGGGATCTCCAGCAAGGCCATGGTGATCATGAACAGCTTCATCAATGACATCTTCGAGAAGCTCGCTCAAGAGGCTTCCAGGCTCGCCCGCTATAACAAAAAGCCGACCATCACCTCCCGGGAGATCCAGACGGCGGTGAGGCTCGTGCTTCCGGGTGAATTGGCTAAGCACGCCGTGTCAGAAGGAACGAAGGCGGTCACCAAGTTTACCAGCTCTTGATGATTTTGATCCTGTCAATGGCGTCGGCTCGTCGCGGTGAAATGATTTAGGGTTATGGATTGCAATCGTTCTACCTCCTATTTTGTCCCCATACAGTTTTGTGTTCCTTTGCGGGTGCAAACGAAGAATTATACAAGTTTGATAAACAATGGCGTTAATATCTTTTGGATTTGAATATTAAATTTGATTTTGTTACCGGGTATGCAATTCCAACTAATAAAATTTGGGATTCATATAATAAAATCACATTGTGGTTGATTTTGTATGGTATAATTATTGAACATTTCAAGCTGCTTCGCTCCTTAGCTGGAGTCGTTTGAATCTATTGAATTCATTACGTGGTGTATTGTACTTGAATGAGATGAGTTTTCAGAAAGTTCTATATAGAGTAATTCTTTTGAAGGATATGTAAAATTATTTTATTAATAAAATAAATAAAATTTTATACTCCCTCTATATCATAACATGTGTTCTAATAGACTTTTCACAAAATTTAAGATAATATACTTGTTAAAAGAAATTTTCCTCCGTCCGGAAATGTTCAATAGATTGAATTTTTTTGTCGATAATAATCAACTGTTTAATGATATTTTTAATACGAAGTTATTTGGTATATCAAATTTATATCAAAATGTTACTTATTCAAAGTATTTGCATAAAAGTATAAATTATATACTACTCCCTTCGTCCCAGAATTATCTTCATTCTTTCTTTTTCGATCCGTCCCAAATTTATCTCCATTTTCCCTTTTTGGTAAAGAATATGTGGTTCACAACCATTCTTACACATTTCTCTCTCCTCTGCATAACTCTCCACCACACAAATCTCACTATCTTAAAACTCGTGCCCGGTCAAAATCAGAGTTAAATATGGGACGGAGGGAGTACTACCTCCGTCCTGTTATTATTGTCCCATTTTACCTTATCAGTCTGTCCCACTAAGATTGTCTCATATCAAATTTGGTAAAGTTTGTGTGGTTCTAAATCATTCTTACTTTATTCTTACTTTATCAATTCGATATAAACCACATAAAACACTTTTTATTAATTTGTGTGTCACTCCCTCTTATCCCATTGTTAGCGGGACGGAGGGAGTAATATATTTTCATTGTTCTCATATACAGGGTGGTTGCAACTTGCAACATAGGGATTGGACACACTAATTAAGACATTTATCTTTAAAGGGAGGTTCTAGTTTTACCCTTGTCATCGGATGGATGAGAGATAATAATACAAAAAGTTTATACGGAGTAACATTATAAAAACAACCCATCATTTGGTCCAAAAGGTGGAATCTCCCACCCCAGGAGCCCCCCATACCCGACCTGACAGGATTTTTGGGAGAATGTTAATCACGGTGACTCAGTCGGTCCAATGATGGTAGGTCTTTTTCCCGTGCGCACCAGAGGTCCAGCCTTATTTCAGGTTCTGTGACCTCCACACGGCCGCTGCGGGTTTCGAATCTTGGTCACTTGGTCCAAATTTCCCACCAGTGAACCAACTAAGCTATCCGTGCGGGTTAAAAAAAAACAACTCATCATGTTTTTACTTACGGAGTATATTTTAAGTTCAGAGCAGATCGGACTAGACTTTACACACCAGATCAGATCAGTTCAGACAAGATCACACCAGACTTCTTTAATTATATTTTGCACAGAAATCAGACATTTACCAGACCGGATCAGACTGCACCAGAACAGACTTAAACAGACCATACCTGACCAGATCAATAAATTTCGATCCAAGTAAAAACATCTTAAATGACCATAAATACATACAAAAGCTACTTCGTACAATTGTACAGTAGCATATCCCCATCCGCCAATTTCATTCTAAACAAAAAATTCAAATTTCAATCCTTCCTTAATTTACCCACCAAAAACCTAATAATGCTATAAATAGAAGGAACATCTTACACAACAATATACTGCTACGAAGATAAAAAGAAACAGATTTCAGTGGCAATAGCCATTAGCCATGAATGAAGATAAATCAATTTCAGAACTTCTTTAGTAAGTTAGTTGGAGGAGGATGCCATGCTTCATGATTTCGATGTTGAGCAAGAATTTGAATTATTCCGCTCCTTTTTTGGAAGTGGCGGTGAGGTAAGAGCTGATTCACAAATACCACTAAATGTTATTCTATCTCACACATCTTTTGGAAGTAAAAAAGTGATAATTTCCTTGGTAGAAAAACTTTTAATGTTGGGTGATGGTAATGGATAACCGCTTTACGCGGCGTTGTAGTAAAACGGAGTCGAACCTTTCGATTTTTTCTCGAGTATTGTGTCTCTGAGGAATGATGGAAGGATTTCTTAATTTAATCTTAGTCACGGGCTATCGCTAATCGTTAGAAGCTTTTTTCAATATAAAAAAGTGTTTGCGTTCTAAACTATGCCAATTTGCAACAAATAAAATTACAACAAGGAGCAAGGTTCAACTTAAAAGATTGATGATTAAAGATCAAACGTTCTAAAAATTGATGTAAATAAGGGCAATGAATTGAGTAATCAAAATGGATATATATTTGGACCTAGTAATTAGGAGTATTGAAAACTAAAACTGGACTGCTAATTTCTTTCTCATAGACAAGAATAGAAACTATTTTCATTAATTTATCCTATTTTTAGGTTTCATTAATGTGTTCAAAATGGTTAGCTTGAGTTAAATTCTAATCACATAGACAAGATATAAATAATTCTCCAATATTTTAACTAATCAAAATAGCCAAATTCATTAACTAATTAAACTCATTATTTAAGCAATTTGAATTTATCTCTCACAGACAAGATATAAATCTCTTTCATTAAAATATCTTATTTATAGGCCTTAAAAATGTGCTTGAATATGATTGGATAAAATTATTTTCTAATCTCATTGACAAGTTAGAAATAATTTTCCAAAAATTTACTGAACGAAAATGGCTAACAATCATTAATTACTATTTCATCAATTTAAACAAGTAGTCCAAATAATTAATTTTAATCCATAATTTTCGGTTAACAAGTCAATCCATATTCCTTTGGTCAATTCATGCCAAAAACAAATTTAGCTACTAAACATCATTTTTGCATTTAACAATATAATTAATAAATTCAACATTAACAAGGGATTAAACATGTATGATAACAAAAACTAAATAAAAATAAGATTCTGCCGTATTAAACTTATAGGAACTAAAATATGACTTTCTTGAATTTTTCACGAATTTATTGACCTAATATCCAATTTTAATAACTAATGATAATTTTCCCAATATTAACTAGAAAATGTAAAATGCAACTAAAAATATTCTAAGTTCGTTTTAATTTTACTTTAGACTACTAGGTGTGAGATAGCAGTGAATTAAACTAGTATTAGGACCGTAACTAGTTTTTTGCTATTTTTAATTAATTAATTTAATTTATGTAATAATAACAACTAATTACCGAAATTAATTAAAAATTACTCCGTACTTCGGCTTTGTGAAAATTTATTTTTTCAGATAAATTATACTCCCTCCATCCCGAAAAAAGTTGGTCAAATTTCTATTTTTGGATGTCCCCAAAAGATTTGCCATTTTCAGTTAGAGTAAGGAATATGTGGCTAAAATTAATTCTCTCCTCTGCACAAATTTCAACCACACAGTTTTTACTCTATTAATCCAGGTGAAAGTCAACTTTGGCCAACCTTTTCGGGACGGAGGGAGTATAATTATTTGGAATGGATTCAACATCAACAACTATTTTATTCAAATTTTGGAAGAAAATGCTAAATATTTGATAAATATTCTGGAAATTTTCGAAGAATAGATCGAACAAACGAGTTACATATTCAGATTCTACAGATCGAAAGGATGAAAATGCATATATAGAACTTACAATTTGAGGCTAAAATGAAGAAGATATTGAAGATTGAAGTTTATGCCTCTATAAGACTACAAGTGTGGAAGAGTTGCGCAAATGGAAGAAGAACTGGAGCTATTAGAACTAGATTAGGGTTGTGAATGATGTGTTTGAGTTGTGGGAAAAGCTTGGTATTTATAGCACAAAAAATCTCGTAGGCGGCCGCGCTTCGTTCAAATTTGGGTGCATGCCGTCTCGTCAGCCGACACACTGTCATGCTCGCGTCTCGTCAGCCGCAGGCGGTCGAAAGGGCAGGCGCCTGTCGTTTCTGTCTAGCTGCCTTCCATCAAATCACACTATCCGGTCGTTGGTTCCGTCGCTTTGTGCCGCAGGTGGTCACGGAGGGCGGCCGCCCATCATCAATGGTCGATATCCTTCGGTCTTTTCAACTACAGTCAAACTTTGACATTTCAAATTTACTACAGGCGGCCACTAGGGTGGTCAAACTGGGCGCTTGGTTGACCGCCTTATGTTGAATTGCACGACAGTGTCGTGTCTTTCCTGCTCTTCAAGATTGTCTTCTAAACCACTTTGATATTTTTCTACTTTCTTCCGATATGAGTCCATTCGTTACTCAAATTGACCCATTTTGTGTTCAATTGATCCGGAATTTCGCCAAACATGTTATGAATTTGATTTTCACCTGATTTCATGAAACTTGAACCAAAATCCGTAAAACATGCCTTGTTTTTCTACTTTCTATCCAAAAATTGCTCAAATACGATGAGAAAAATAAGTTCAAAAATGAATTTATCAGTAATACCTTACCAAAAGGTGATATGTCAGAAGTTGCTGCAAAATTCAATGTTCATAGAACCACGGTTTGGAGAATCTAGTGTGCTACTAAAGTTCAAGTATCTAAAGGGGCAGTGGTGGATATCCAAAGTTAAAAAAATGGGGAAAAGTGAGCAGAAAACCTAAAGTTTTTTATTTGGATGGTCTTAACGGTGTGCCCAATCAACAAAGGACCACGATTGGATCTTTGTCTATCGTTCTTGGAATAAGTTATTTGGCAATGATGGAGTATATGGCCCAGGAACCCCCGGTCCATAGACTCCCACTGTTTAATACAGGCCCAACAGACCCAGGAAACACAGCAGGCCCAAATCACAGCGTCCCAAGTGACAGGAGGCCCACGCTGCCCATGGAGCCGCCTTCGGTCCCCTGGCCGAAGGCCCCAAACTCTCACAGAACAATTGTTTTAGGCTTACGAAGTTACCGGGAGAAAACGGCGAAAGAATTAGCCCTCGACACCCAGAGCCCTCGCACACAAAGACCCCCGGGTTGAAAAGCCCTCAGCTAATAATATACAGCCGAAGGCACCTCCCTCGACAGAATCTCTCATCCACATGTGCTGGATCAACGTATCAAGTACAAACGTCACATCCAACCACCGCATTTAATGCGGCCACATGCGAGTACCAGTGCCACCCCATTGAGGTGACCCCTCGACCACCAGAATGATGACACATGTCCTTATCTAGCATTTATTGCTCCTATAAATAGCACCTCTTTCCCTATTTGTAAACCACGCTGAATACGCTAAATATCAATATACACACTTTCTCTAC